ACTTTAAGAAGTAAGGCCTCTGTTCTTTAAACCCTGCTGATTTAAAGAAATATTACTAAATACTTTTAAGTCCATTTTTATTCAGTTCTGTCTGCTTGCCATTGGTTATAATAGACTTAGAACCTTAAAACTTATTTTTTTATTCTTCATTTTCTGTTTTAAAATTTTGGCAAGATTGTTTTCTTTGTGCTTGTTGTTATTCGAAGGTTCCAGCAGAATTTCAGTTCTTCTGTAGTCAGAGCTATTGGAAGAAGCCATGATGTCATTGCCAGCGGGGAAGCTGTTAGCTAGGAAATCTCTGCAGTCCACACTGTGATTGTGCAGCTGCATCTTCTCCTGGGGGTCGGAAGTGATGGGCCCACACCTCCTTGTTTGCCTAGGACAACTCAAGTTCATACTTGCTGTCCTAGCATAATTGTCATACACCCACTCTCAAAAGGTTCTTTGGTTTAAACAATAAATTATAGAGTCCCCCTAAACTTAAAAGACTATATGGAGAGAATGGTAATGGTATCAAGTGGTTCTTTTTTTTTTTGATGGTAGTGAGAGTGTGTGGCTTGTGAAAAAGATCAGTAAAATTAGAGTATCCAGGATGAAACAGAATGTGGTAGGATTTTGGGGGAACTGAGAAAGAAAACATTTGCCGACATTGTTATAAACTAACCAGCCAAAACAGGGAAGGGGAGAAAAGAAAAAAATAAGCATTGTAACAGCAGGGCTATTAATTTTTGGGACAAAGCCAGGTGGTTTGGTGGTCATGCTGGTGGGAGAAGGGATGCATAGGAACCAGAATTCAATGTTACTTTCAGAAACACGACCAAGTGCTAAAAGAACAAGAAAGTATAGTATAGAGGTCAAGGACACGGGCTTTGGAACAGACTGCCTAGTGTTCAGTTTCCTCAAGCTATTTAAAAATGGAAAAGATGCTTAAAGCCTATTTCACCTCATTTCCCTCATCTGTAAAATCCACGTAATAGTAGTACCTATGCCATAGAATTATTGTGAGGAGTCAACGAGTTAATGCTTATAAAGCACGTGAAGCAGTGTTTGTCACACTGTGAGCACTCCATACACATAGTCTGCTGTTTTTATTATTAGTGTTGTTATTATTTTAATGAGCAAAGGAGGGAATGGCTATACCACCATCATCCAGTTCCTTAACTGAAGCTGCACATGCGTGTCCTGGAGGCTGAATCACACGCTGAATTACTCTGCTGCCAGACGGGCTGGATGGGATTCCTCTCTCTGTCACTTATTTGTTCAGCAAATTTCTGAACTTCCCTTTAGTCTGTCTCCACATCTTTCGATGGAGATAGAAATAGCATAGACTTTTAAGGTTTATTGTGATGATTAGACTTGCTCCAGTCCTTGTAAAACCATTCCACACAGGCACACAGTAGGTGCTTAAATGTCAGAAATGTCTATAGGAACCTCTCCCTGTAAACCTGCATATATGATAAGAGATGAGTAAGCTGTTGACTTTCTAAGTCTCTTAAATCCCATCATTCTTAAGTGGTAGGTAATGAGCACATAGTTCATATTGGGGCATGGAGGGGCTGCAGGAAAGGGGGTATGTTTGAGTTGTGTGTGAGATGTCTTGAAAGAAGGAGTAGTTGATACTACAGCTCTGTCATGCAAGAGAGATGATGAGTTTGGGGTCCATTAGCACATGAATCCCTCTCTCTCTCCTCTGTGTGTGTATGTGTGTGAGCTCCGTTAGGGGCATATGTGTTATGAGAAGAAGGGAAAGAACTGAATCCTGAAGAGCACCTTCCCTTAAAGGGTTGGATGAAGAAGGACCCCCAGACAACAACAGCAAACAACAACTGAGGAGAAACAGAGATGAGAGAGGAATAAGGAGATAATGATGGCCTAGGAATTAAGACAAGAGAGCATTTCAAGAACAGCAGAGACAAATGCTATAATTAAGTCAAATATGGTTAAATCAGGAAAAAGCGACTGAACCTTAGAACTGGAGCTGAAGCTTATGCTTCTAATAACATCAGCGAGAATAGTATTAGTAGAGTGATTGGGGCAAAATGTAGATGTCAGTGGATTGAGATCTGTCTCAAAGATGAGAAGTTAATACATAACACAAAACAAAATGAAAAGAAAACCTATCCTTTCAAGGAATTTGAGAGCAAATGGAAAAAAAGGTGGTGTTTATCACATGAGAAAGCTAAACCTGCGTTTGGCTGATGGGAGGAAGCTAGAAGATCCAAGAAATGGGCAATAATGAGTGAGGCGAATCTGCGACATTCAAGGAGGAGGAGGCAGGGATGAGGTCACTCGTGCAGAAGTTAGCTTGGGAAAGAGGAAAGCTACCCAGTTCTTTGAGTTGGCTGAGGAGGTGATAAGGAAGAGTGAATATTTGAAAATGTCAGGGGGAAAAGTGGGAGAGGTAATTCCGTGTGTCCCCAAATTTGTTGGTAAAGTCAGTGACTTGGTCATGGAGTGGAAGGATAGGGAGAGCCAAAGCCTTGAACCCAACAGAACTTTAATCAGAGGTGAGTGGAAGATGGGTTGAGTAATCCTGGAGGCCCAGCTGAGGTTGGAGATAAAGTATTTGTGATAGCACCAAATGACACAGTTCTCAGTTTTGTGTGGTTTTATTCTTTTTTTTTAAAGATTTTATTTTTTTCCTTTTTCTCCCCAAAGCCCCCTGGTACATAGTTGTATATTCTTCGTTGTGGGTCCTTCTAGTTGTGGTATGTGGGACGCTGCCTCAGCGTGGTTTGATGAGCAGTGCCATGTCTGTGCCCAGGATTCAAACCAATGAAACACTGGGCCGCCTGCAGCGGAGCGCGCGAACTTAACCACTCAGCCACGGGGCCAGCCCCTGGTTTTATTCTTTTTAATTACGTGTTTTTCTACAGAATTCTTAAACTTCCCAGGAGCAAAAGTGATAGAAGTGGATGCATGGCTTTGTCAAGGATGGAGATTTTATGTATTGATGTGGGAGAACAATGAGGGATGAGAGAGTGGGAGGACTGAGGATGCTGAGGAGAGGGTCAAGGAAGTGAAGAAGGAAGTAGCCGTTAGACAAGAAATGGAAGGAAGTCAGGAGCGGGCTGATGAACCAAAACTAAATTTCTCAATGAGGTGGAGGAACAGGTGCAGCGGGAGTATAAAGATGAAGAGATTTAAAAACACAGAACAAAATAAACCAAAAGCAGGAGGTTTCCTTTTTTAAGATGTCAGAGATGGAGGGGTCCTGAGAAATGAAAAGGTCCAGGGGAGAGCCATCAGAGTGGGTACTAGCATGGTGATCTCCAAGAGAGAAAATTCTTTTCGTGGTAAATGTTGAAAGGGATCTCAACGATAACTTATTTAGTCTAATCTCAGTTTTAAGATGGAAAGTTTGAAATTCTGAGAGCTAAGGCAACTTGTTAAGAACCGTGAATTTTAGCAAAACTGCTCGTAGAACTCAGGTCCCCTTATCCCCAGTGGGGGTTGTGTTTATAAACCACACTGTTAAATGCTTGAAACAGTGAAGTAATGAATTGCTCAGTGAAGATGGAGACCCTTATAAAATGACCCTAGATTGTGCTTAGAAATTAATAAACCTATCTCTTTCTGCATACTTCATCAAATAAATCCATGGTGTCAAATCCTGACAGCCTACTGTGACCAATGACTTGTATATCAGAGAGAAAATGTAATCCAGGTGACATGTGACATAAAAAGGTCACATTGCCTAGCACCAGCCCTTGCTTAAGTCTAGCTAATTAGTGGTAATTTTGGTTAATTCAAGTGGATGGAGCTCAAGGCAATACTATTTGTGGAATTCGGTCTGATAATTTAGTCACCCTCTATGTTTGAATTAAAAATGTTTTGAGCATTTTTTTTTTTGAGGAAGATTAGCCCTGAGCTAACATGTGCCGCCAATCCTCCTCTTTTTGCCGAGGAAGGCTGGCCCTGAGCTAACAACCGTGCCCATCTTCCTCTACTTTATATGTGGGATGCCTACTACAGCATGACTTGCCAAGCGGTGCCATGTCTGCACCTGGGATTTGAACCGGTGAACCCTGGGCCGCTGAAGTGGAACGTGTGCACATAACCGCTGTGCCACCTGGCCAGCTCCTGTTTTGAGTATTAATCTACATGGTTTGCAAACATAAAAATAATTTCAGGCCACTGGAGATTATAGAGTCAAACCTTGACTGATTTATTCATTCATAGGTCTGCACACTATTTGCGAAATATTAGTTTATAGCCAACGCAAAGAACATCATGTTATGGCAGGAACATTGGACTAAGATGTCAGGAGAACAGTATTTTTGATCAGTTCACTCTATCTTTGGGTAAGTACTAAACTGTCTGAAACTTGGTTTTCTCATCAGGCGAATGGAAATACCACCTCCCATACCAGCCCTCATTGTTGTTGTGAAGGGCAGACTGTGGCAGGTAAAATGGTGGCAAAGTACATAAAATATGGTTTTGGCTGCCGACTCTGCCACTGAATAGATGAGTATCTATGGTTATTTAACCTCTCTGAGTGTCAGTTTCATCATCTATAAAATGTAAAGATATTATCTTTCATTTTGTTGTTAACTTATATATGTTGTATGTTGTTATATTTTTGTTAACATATAGATATCTATATATATCTATGTATAGGTATATAGATATATAGATATCTATATATAATATATAATATTAACACATATAATCTATATATAATATATAACCTATATATTGTATAAATCTATATATTATCTAAAATAGGTAATATATATCTATATATAATATATAGTATATACAATTATAACATATTATGTATAATTTAACATATAATCTCTAATATATCTATTATCTATTATCTATTATATATGGATTATTATATTTATTACATTATATTGTATATAATTTATATATATTTATATAATGTATATTATATTACTATATTATATATTACAATATATATCTATATAATATATAGATATAGGTATATGTAATGCATACAATATATCTAATACATAAAAATATCTATTATTAACATCTAATAGCAGGAGTTTTAATTACTTGGATATGAAAAGGTATGATATAAATGTAAAATTTTCTTTTTCTCCTTTTGCCTTCTAATTTTTGTTGAAATCTTGTTGCAATTCAGGCAATCTGATGAAATTCATACTCCTAACTCCATGACCTTCTTGCCTCATGTTCAATTCACTGCTCTCTGTGGAAGGAGAATTGCGGAAATGCTATCCTCTATTTCTTTCCTGCTCCTGCTTGCCCCTCTCCTTCTCATTCACTTTTTGCAACGAGATATTGTATATCTTCATTTGTGGTGTTAGGATTTCAGTAGATCAAGAGCATCAACTTTTGTGGAAAACAAGGGAAAATGGAGTATTTGAGAAAATATAAGTTCATATCTGACACCCGAAAGACATATTGTACCAATATGATACCCAGTCCTTCTTGGAAGCATTTTTAGAGAAATTTCCTTATATATTTCAAATATATACACAGTCCATGTGTAAAGTGGATTTAACTACAAATGAGAAGAATACAAACATTCAGTCTGACTGTGAGTGAACCGGAAAAACTCTAGAGTTAATAATGGACAGAAATGGATGAGTTAAGTTTGTTCAATGTAACACATATTTACTGAGTGTCTACTGTGTTTCTGATACTTTTCTAGTTAGTTGGCAGAAGAGTTAGTAGTTAGTTACTCTTCTTGTTAGTAAAAACTAGATAAGAGATCTCTGAGATCTCTGCTCTCATAAAGCTCACCTTCTAGAGGACAGAGATACTAAGTAATACCCATAAAAAATAAGCAAATTATGGACTAGGTTGGAAAGTGACAAGAGCTATGAACAAAATTTTAACATGTTGAGCATCATAAGAGGCAACAGAGTCCATGTGTGGTTGGGCTGAGCAAGGTGGGCCTCACTGAGAAGGAAACATGTGAGCAAAGTGGAAAAAAGTGAAAATGAGGCTCATGGATATCTGGGAGAAGAGTAGAGAGATCTGCCTTGGCAGAGGCCCCAAATGGGGTGAAGGGTCTGAACAGAGTGACCGAGAGGGGAAATAGCAGAAGACGAGGTCTGAGGTAAAGCACCGTGGTTCTTTGCAAAGAAGTCCAGCTTCTGGTGCGTTTTAAAGATCACCAAGTCTAATTCTCTTAACATATAAAGTAGAAGGGCAATCATCCTTCTTTACAAGGAGAGCATGAATCAATGGTTCAAAAGGCTTTTCACCCTGAATCTCTAGAGCCTTTCCAAATTCTGGCTAGGTAAGATTTAGGTGTTGTCAGCCAAAGCTGCCATCCATCTGGGGCAATTCTTTCAGTTTTAGAGTAAATTATAAAATGATTCTTGTTAGCCAGTGATTATGATTTTCAACTTTAGAGTAAATTCCAGAATGAATTTTGCCAGCCAGTGATCAGCACAGAGTGTTAGAAAGATCTTTCTAGAAGCTTAGAAAGTATCAGATGTGGATTGGTGAAATGGAATTTGGAGGGAATTCTGGATAATGGAATCTGGATGGAATTCTGGTTATGTGAACATGGGAAGCTCACATAGTGCTATTGAGGCAGGAGTTGGCATAGCAGATGTAGTGGTGTTTGTCTGACAGTGTTTTGTTGAGGTTCTGCTGTACATACAACCCCTAACCCCAATAGATTGCTAATCTCTCACAACACTTTTCCTACTGAGTCCTTACACGGCCACATAATCTTCCCTAAGACAATACTTAGGTGGCCACTGCCACAGATGGAAACCAGCCCTTGAAGTGAAACATTTTTGCCGTTTTGGGTTAGCTAGAACAAAGAAGTTGCTTTGGACAATAGTGAGGGGATGTTTGCACAGAGTACAGGGCAGCAACTGGGAAAGGATCTTGGGTTATAAGGTGAACCATGCACCTACAGGTTGATGTAAATGCAGAGTAGGACCTCTGGATGGTGCGATAACAAAGTGAACAGCCTTGGAAGCATTGGGAGACAAGAAGAACAATTTTCGCATTTCATAGGAGTAGTAAAAATGATTCTTCTCTTTTATTCCTTCTTTACCTCATTTCATAATATGAGAACAAGTATGCACTCAATGAAATTAACAGTGGGAAAATTTAAAACAAATAAAAGGAAATACTTCTACTCTTAGCGTATAATCAGTCTATAGTCTTTTCTGCTGAGGAAGGTCAGGAAGTCAAATGCTGAAGAAGAAAAGAAAAGAGAGAATAATCTGGTTAATTTTATGACCAATAATAACATTGTAATTGTGCCCTAAGATAAGCATAATGAAGTTGAAGCTTTGGGGCATAAAATGATCATCTCAGAGGACAGGAAGGAATTCTCCCACTCTTACCTCTAACAATTTGAATGGCACCAAAGAATTGGCCAGATGAATTATGGGGTGTGATATTTTTCCCAGGAGGCAGCTCCTATTAACCTGGCAAACCATTCTTGAAAGACCAGTGGCTAGTTTTATCTGGAAAATCCTGTATTTCAACGGAAATCAGCCTTGAATCCAAGCAAAAAGAATTTTGTAGTTGGTGGAATGATACACTCCCCAATGATGGATACGGTCTAATTTTGCTTTTCACCCTGTGTGTGAATTTCTCTAAACATAATATTCATATAACTAACTTAGTGTATCATAATGGATGGAAATTGGCCTTTGACACAGAGCAGGTCCAATGGAAAGCACATGAGCTGTCCCTTAGGAATTATAAACATGCTCTTGCCCTTTTGCCAAACTTTTTTCAAAGTTCAAACCAGCTGCTTGTAGCTTCTGAGTTTCTTTCTTGGCATGCGTATGCTGCTTGAGCTCTTGTATTCCAGACCTCAGTGAAGCTCTGAATCCTTAGCTACCTTTGGCAGGACATTTGGCCTTTCCTCTTAATATTGCTTCTAAACCAACTGGGACCTTAGCCTTGTTTGTTTTTTGCCTCTGTGTACTTATTCACTTTTTAAATTTACTTCATTTACTTATGTAAAACATGGATATTGTGTGAGGCAAATAATTAACTCCAGTTAACAGATAACTCCCAAATCTTAATTGTGTTTAACAAAAGGAAAAACTTTTTTTTTTTCACTTACATCTAAGCCTGGAGGAGATTGAGTGGTTTTCCTGGCGGCTGTGCTCCTGGTGGTGACTCAGGGATCCAGCCTGCCTCTAAAGTCTTGCTTTGCCATTTTGGAGTCTTTCAAGTCCAGCTTTAAGGCCAATTTCCTTATTTGGAAAATGGAAGCAATAAAAACATACCTCTCAGTTAGTCACGATGATTGAGTAAAGTAAGATGAATGACTCTCAGCATACACATAGTATGCTGAACTAAATCAGGAAATTTTGATGTTTCTTCCCGCTGACTGTGTATATGAGGCTCCGATGTGAGTGTACGGGAGAGGAGGGAGATGTGCTCAGATGAGTAAGGTTGACACCTGTACTCAAAGTGCTCGTGAGCTCACTGTCTATAAAATAGGAGGCAAATTCGTTACTAGAAACTTTGCTCTAAGTAAGTTCCAAGTTCCTCTCTTTTTAGTTTTAGATATCATTTCCACAATCTAGATAACTATTAGGATAATGATAAATGCTCAATAAATAGCATTAAATCAGTGCTTAAAATGTCAGAACTGTACAACGAAGGAACTAGAAAATGAGATTCTTCTCCTGTTTTCCCTCTCCATCAACCACCCTTCCCCCAGAGTTTATAAAAATTCACCACGATAAGATCATGTCTAGGATGACTGTTGATTTCTTGATTCAACGCCAGACTTCATCCAAATTGAAGAGATCATCTTGAAGGATCCTATACGCAGACCATAGTATACAACTGCTTATAATTTTTAAGTCTTATATATGGTTGAGTATAACTAAAATTTTGCTTAGTCAGTTATTCTTTTCCATGTTGAGCCTATATATAGTGTTTGTTGGCGTCTACAGCTATCTATTGCAGTACCTGTTCTTATAGCTCCAAGCACTACTTTGCCTCCCAGTTTGAATAAAGCCTTTGCTATAGTGAGGCATTTTGTCTGAATGTTTGGTGCCAGTTGTACATCTCAGTATTCTTGCTATGTTTTGTTGTTCAAAGTTAAATTCCAAAATGTCTTTAAAACTCCTTCACCAGTTTTCAACAGGAGCCATTGAATTTAAAAGATGACTTGGAAATAGCTTACCTGGGTACCCCTGGCCCAGTATCTTATTTGTAAGAATCCTGGAAAACTATTTGTTCAAATGAGTGAACAGTAGCTGATTAATCTGATCATGATTCCCATCCACTCTCCCCCTGGCTCATATTTATTGCCATCAGTGAGCAAATTGCTTGGGTGGCTGTCTCTTCTTTCAACCCACTTTCCTCTGTCATGTTTCCCAGACATTAGTGCAATTAACTTTTATGCAATCTCCCTGTAGATAAATATCCATGTATATTGCTTTGCATGCATGACAAGGAAACTGAGGTGCGTGGTAGTCTGTCTGTTGTCGAAGGTCAACAAGAGTAGGAAGAAAATAAATTGGAATTGACATCTTCCAACTAATGTCTCCATCCATCAGATCACAGCACTTCTCCTGGCAAGCTTCCCCTTGTCTCTCCCTTCAATGGCTGACACCATGAACATGAACATTATGGTCTCCAACACTTCCTGCTTCCAGAGAGCAGCAGTAGCAGCACCAGGCTGCCACTCAACTTGCCCTCCTGTGAGGCTGAAAGGGACCATGTTGTTTTCTGCCGAAAAATGGACATGTTTCTTTTCCTCTAAAGGAGAAGATCTGAAGGACCAAATGAGCACGTATAAGCCAGCTGTATGCATTTTTCACCCTTATTAAAAGTGCCAAAGCCCAAATGCAAGAATTCATTCTGAAAGATTTCAGCATGCCAATTCTGGGCTTATGGAAAGCTTTTCCCCTAATTACCTCAACAACCTTCTGTGTGTAGTATATTGAGGAAATTTCATCTTTATGTCACAGGGGCAAGGAAGGCAGATTTGCAGAGATTCATGGGACGAGCTTTTCAAAGAGCTTTAACAGAGAAAATCTATTCTCAGGTATTAGAGGAAGCAAATATTGGGAGAAATTATATAAAGAAAATTTATGTTCAGAAAAGAAACTGTTGACAGTTTATTATGTTCAGAAAGCCCAAATGTTGACTGAGAACTCAAACACCTCATGTTCTCATTCTAGATCTCTTCAGGATGAAGAAAAAGAGTCCTCTTATGCTCTTTGTCCCCTTCCCTAAAGCAGGATATATGATATACGTTTAGAGGAAAAGATACATCTGAGAATAGCAAAGCTGTTATCCATGAGAACAGGCTAGATTGTGATGCCAGAACACACAACCTGCAAGTTTCAATAGCTTAAAACAGCAAAGGTTTGTTTCTTCTTTACACTCCTTGTCTATCTCTGGTTGGCAGGGACCAGGGCCGAGAGGTCAGCCTCCATCTTGTACTTCGCTGGTCACTCTGTCACAGACGAACCTAGAACTTTTCAAGGGCTGGCAAACATTTTCAGTAAAGGGCCAGATAGTAAATACTTTCAACTTTGCAGAACATGGAGTTTCTGTCACAATTACTCAACTCTGCTATTATAGTGAAAAAGCAGCATTTACAATAGTTTACAACACATAAGTAAATGAATATGGGCTGTGTGCCAATAAAACTTTATTTACAACAATAGCCAGTGGGCTGAATGTAGCTTATAACCTGTAGTTTGCCAACTCTTTCAATTAAATTGTATGGGCCAAAAGGGACACTTACCTCTGCTCAGTGATTAACGGTTAATGATTCTACTCAACCACTAGAGAATGGGGAAGTACAAGCCTGTCACTTCCCGAGATGAGCCTAGCCTTGTACGTGTTCACACACTTACCTAGAAGATAATGAAGAAATAGCTGGGCACTTATTTTCACAGCTCCACAATACTTGATTAAGCCTACTGGTCTTTTAGAGTTTTTCTACCCCCTCAGTTTCTCTTTAACTCAGAAAAACAGACTTGACAAGGTGGCAGTGTTCATTTGCTATGTAAGAGGCAATAGGAGCGGCCAGTCAATCAAAGAGGACACTGCTCAGCTCTGTGCTTGGTCAGCCTTGGTGGCCGTGTTGTGCATGAATAGCTGGAGTTACTCATCTCATGAAATCTTCACCTTTGGGAATCCCAAGGTGAGTCAGGAAATGCATCCTAGAAGCAGATATTAGGAGAGGATTTGGAAATAGCAAGGGAGGCATTTTGTCAGATGGCCTTCCTCAACAATGAAGTTCTCTAGGGGACAATTACTGAGAAGCTTCCTAGATGTAGCAGTGTAGCCTATACGCAGCGAGCAATGACAAGATAGGGTTTTCAGTTCATTTCACTATAAATGGAGTCTCACTTAAACTTGTTTTATCACAGGACGATGTCACTTTTTGTATATGGTTTTCTAGCAAACCACGCCCTCTCTCCAAATCCCAACCAACCCCATTTTGGCCCCTCCTGGTTCCTCATTATTTTATAAAGTCAAATGGTTCCTTACCTTCAATTGACACACCTCTTTCAAATCTCTTTCAAATTGTATTGGTATTGCTCTAAAGAAAATTTAAATTGTGCATTTATTTGTACACAGTTTAATTCATTAATATTTCTGACTTTTCTCCATAGGAATAGTTTGACGAGATACAGGTAAAGGTATATTTAAGTGAATTTGTCAGTTAGTTAAAACAGAGACACTAGGAATCTGTTGTGTAGCTTGTAGGCTCTCTATACATTGAAATATCTGTTCGTATTGATTATAATCCATGCCTTCTAAAATTTTAAGGTACTTTCTTGCATATTATCACACAAACAAAACACTTCAGTGAACTATTTTAATAGTTAAATTTTAAAAAGAGAAAAACAGATAGCAAAACATATGCCTGGGCTAAGATCTGTTAGTTGGTGATAGCTTCCTCAGGAAAAAAAAAAAATAAGAGTGAAAATAACCTACATCTAAAAGAATATTTCCAAGGTCCACATGATATTTTTATTTAAAGTAGGGCTGTGCAATACTTTGAAATTAATTGTAATTGGCTTAAATGAAGGTGCTATTATGGTTTTCCCTCAAAAGAGTTTAATTTCATTTTCCAGACTAGCTGCCAATATCAAGCTATCATAGACAAGAGCTCTAGCGTTTCTAAAGAGACTATATTACCCAAGTTTCTTTGTTTGGCACAATAACAACAACAACACTTATTATGTCCTGGGCACTATTCTGAGCCTTTTAAAATAGGTTTAGTTGAGCTTGGTACCATCCCAATTTTTTTCCCACTTACAAATGGGGAAATTGAGGCACAGGGAAGTTAAGTTACTTGCCTAAGATCACAAGAGAGTAAGTAGCAGGGCCAGGATTTGAACTGAAATCCTGCATCAAAGTCCATACAAATAACCAGAGTCCATAAGAATAACCACCGTGCTATAACACCTTTCACAGCTGGGACAGTGGGACTGGCATGCAGATGCTAGTGAAGGAGCAGAAAACTTTAAAGACTTATAAACACCCAATTCGTATAATCGAGGAAAATCTATGCTTTTTTGTGCTTATCTAAATTGACCACAGATCCACCAAACATGGGCAACTTCATTTTCCTGGCACCTTGGAGATACAGGAAAATGCTAACTCTGTTTCCATCAGCAACTGTGTAGTGTAGAGACCTTTCTTTCTGGAATAAAGGAAAATGTGAAAGAAAAGGAAGCGCATATAAGCTTCAGGTTGCTTTCAACACGATATCAGCTCATCGGGTCATTGCTACCAGCTCTCCTCTTTCCCACCTGAGCTGTGCTCCTTGGCTTGTCTGCCACAAACTTCCTTGGAAATTCTTTGCTGGACCTGAGTTCCCGTCCATGACAGTCTGGCCTTCCAAAGAAGATTAATATAAAATATCAGTCAAAGGTTTTGTATTCCCAGCCCAGAGCTTTATCTCAAAAGAAAAGGGGGAAATTTGTCTCTTGTGAGTCATGGGCATTGAATTGCTGGGAACATTTCACTGCAGGGTGAGTTGGCAAAAATAGTCCTCATGGATTTCAAGTTTATTTGACTAATTCTTTCACCACTTGTCAAACGAAACTACTTTTGTTTAGGTAACAAAACAAGCTGTTTCCTCTGCCGTGTCTCCAGTGAGTTGTATAGGCACTTGTGGCGAACACACATTACTGCTAACTGTTATGATGTTTGCTGTCAAATTCATTTATTTATACAACTGCTGTAAAAAGCCCGAGGCCCATAAGCA